CTTTTATTGAGAAAAAATTAGCATATAACATATTAGTTTCAGGTGCACAATATAATGATTCTATATTTGTATATATTGCAAAATAATCAGTACAATAAGTTTAGTTATCCATTAATATACATAGTTACAAAACTTTTTTTCTTGTGATGAGAACTTATAAGATCTACTCTCTTAGCAATTTTCAAATATACAATTCAGCATTATCTATACTAATAAAAGGGTAATATGCTAATTAGACTGGATGTCTTCAAATGTCCTTCTGGACAAAGCTGCAGCAGCTGCTTCGAGGGCCGGGCCGAGGCTCAGGCAGCCGCAGAAACTGGCAATGGCGGCAGCAGTGGTGTGATGGGGCATCACCCTTCCCTGATCGGCCTGGTTGCCTCCACAGAGGGAGCCCAGAGGCAGCAGCAGTGAGGGGGTCATGGGTGCGGTGCCTTTCCACAATCAGCCAATTGCCTCCTGCAGAGGGAGGCTAGACTGTGGCTTAGGCAATAATGCTAAGCTGTCAGTAGGACATCCCCTGAGGGCTCCCAGACTGTGAGAGGGGGCAGACCAGGCTGGGGAACCCCCTCTAAAGTGCACGAATTTTTGTGCACTGGGCCTCTAGTTTATAATAATCGCCATGCTACATATTATATCCCCTTGATTTATTTATTTTATAATTGGAAATGTGTAACTTTTACTCCCTTCACCCATTTTGCCCACCCTCCCACCCTGCCTCTGGCAACCACTATCTATTCTCTGTACTATGAGTTCTCTTTTTTCAATTCCACATATAAGTGAGATCATCTAGTACTTGATTCATTCATACTGGATAGCTACTGTTGCATTGGCTATTGTCATTTTTTTATTTGACAATCTAGGAGAAAAGAGGTCTGTGTCCCTGATTAAAAAGTCAGGTAGTGCATAAAAAATCCTTGCAGCACACTGGTTGAAAAATCACTGCTTTAATCTATTTTTTTTTGTATGATACATAATCTGTATATTGCGTTGTGTACCCCCAGCCCAAAGTCAAATCATCTTCCTTCACTATATATTTATCCTCTACCATGCCTTCAACCAATTTCCTCTGGTAACCACCATACTATTGTCTGTCCATGTCTCTGAGTTTCAGTTTTATATCCCACATATGAATGAAATCACATGGTTCTTAGCTTTTTCTGACTGACTTATTTTACTTAGCATAATATTCTCCAGGTCCATCCATGTTGTTGCAGATGGCAGTATTTTATCTTTTCTTATGGCTGAGTGGTATTTCATAGTATACATGCACCACATCTTCTTTATCCAATCCTCTATTGAAGGATACTTTGATTGTCTCCATGTCTTTGTCACTGTGAATAATGCAAAAGGAACATAGGGTACATATATCTTTGCGAATACATGTGTTTTACTTTTTCGAGTAGATACCCAGAGGAGGGATTGCTGGGTCCGTCATATGGTAACTCTATTTTTATTTTTTTGAGGAACCACCATACTGTTTTCCATAGTGGCTGTGCCAGTTTACATTCCCAACAGCACTAAATGCGGGTTTCTCTCTCTCCACAACCTCTCCAACACTGGTTATAACTTGTCTTCTTGATATTAGCCATTCTTACAGGTGTGAGGTAGTCTCTCATTGTAGTTTTGATTTGCATTTCCCTAATAGTTAGTGAAGTTGAACATCTTTTCATATATCTGATGGCTGTTTGCTTGGCTTCTGGGGATTAATCCATTTTGAGTTCATTTCTGTGTGTGGTGTAAGACAGTGGTCCAGTTTCACTGTTCTGCGTGTGGCTGTCCCATCCTCCCAACACCATTTATTGAAGCAATTTTAGTTATAATTGCCGCTAGAAACAATTCACATGTCCTCAACAAGTGAATAAACAGATAGTAAAATACTACTTAGCAGTAAAAAAATAAAAAAAATACTTGGTTGGATCTGAAGGCCATTGTGCTTCAGGGCAAAAAACAATCTCCAAAGGTCACTTATGGCGCTATTCCATCTCTATAATGTTTTGCAAGTGGAAATATTAGAGGGACCAGTGGTTGCCAGGGGTTGGAGTTGGGAGAAAATGTGACTATAAAAAGGCAACTAAGCAGTTTTATACCCTAATGGTGGTGATGGATACACGTATACATGTGATAACATTTTATAGAATTACAGATACGCATACACACACAAACTGTGCAGGTGAAAATCGTTAAAGTGAGGGAAAGTCTGCAGTTGACTTGCTAGTATTGTACCAATGTCAATTTTCAGTTTTGAATAGTGCCCTGTGGTTATGCGGAACGATGTATCGGACCAACCTGGAGAACGGGGATAGGGGAACTCGGTAGTGTTTTTGCAACTCCTTATAAGTGAGACTATGCTAAAATCAAAAAATCATTTAAAAATTGCAGTAAATAAAAAATATACTCTAGACTGACGAATCCCGTTCCTCCCAGTTGGTATTTTATGACTGACATCATAGCCAAGAAAGCGGCATCCCTGGTGAGATTGCGATGTGCATAAGGCATGGCTAGGAATGCAGTGCTCCTGGCTCTGGGTGGCTGTGGGCAGCTCCATGCTCTCCCCACTCAGCACTGTGGGTCAGCTCCACCTGCTCTCTCATCCCAAGACTCAGCCTGGGGAGGTGGACGCCCTCAGGCGCCTCTGCTCTCCTGCCAGGAAGCAGGAGCAAGAGGGCGGGTGGGGCTTGCAGCACCTCCAAAGCTTCTGCTCCGTGCAGCCGCCTCACTTCTCTGCCCGTCTAGTAGCCAAAGCAAGTCCACGGCCAAGTCCAAAGTCAATGTGGTGGGGAAATGTCCTCTGCTTCGCGGAAGGATTGCAAAGGCGGGGAGGGGATTAATAATTGTAAGCGAACAATATGACCTACTGTGACGGAAATCAAGGTGTTTCCACTTGGGATGCTCTATTCAAACAACAAGACATGGGTGTGGCAGGGGATTTTATTTCCTCGAAGCAAATAAAGGGTTCAGGGGATTCACATCCAGAGTTCGGCCTCCCCAAGGGGAGGCTTTCCATTGGGTATGCAGGCCAGGTGTCCCCCAAAATGTATACACACCAACAGCTGATAGCTCAAATTTTGAAAATGAAATGTATTTTAATAAACACTGCCTTTATAATTCTTCAGAGTGCTATATACATTTGGGGGGGGGGAGGACACCCTATATATACTATTTGGTCAGTTACATGTTGATTTCTTTGTAGTTGGCTGTTTTCATCAGTTGAATTCCTGTCCGCTCATTCTGTTTAGAGCTGCATCTTCAAAATACTATGCTACATTTTAACATTTAGCAAGAAATAACATTTAGTTAGAGTTTCCCAGACCTTGAGACCCTCTTCCCATCCAACACTACTACACAGGATAAATGTTATTAAGTCCAGGAAATGATACTTACATCTTTTAAAAGTCGTGTGTGGACACACGATCAACTTTATGTGAGTTATATGAACTCGGGTACTTGAGTTACACGAATTCAGACGTGAGATGTTGTTTCAGGAATTGCAAATTAGCATAGGTATTCAAATTGGAAAATTGAAATAAGACTTTTTTTAGAAATAGAAAGTGAGTATCTGATTTGGATAATTAATTTGACAAAAAAGGCTGACTTTGCTAGTTTGTTGCTCTTTGTTTTATATCCCACATCTGAGTGAAATCATACATTTGACTTATTCACTTAGCATGACACTCTCAAGATTCACCCATATTGTTGCAACTGTCAGTATTTCATCTTTTTGTGGATGAGTAGTATTCCATTGTAAAAATCTATACCTCTTCTTTACCCGATCATCCATTGAAGGACCCTTAGGTGGTTTCCATATTTTGGCTATTGTGAATGATGGTGGAATGAACATAGGGGTACACATACCAATAGTATTACAATAAATTTAATTTAAAAATTTATAAAGATCACTTTACCAATTAAGTTATATAGAAGATGTTTCTGATAAATGAGTTGAACTAAATTTGTATTCCAATGTTTTAACACAAATACAATTAAAGCACAAGAGCAAAGTTGCTTAGAGCTCACATCTATAACAAAAAGGAAGAAGAGACTCAGTGCTGCATCCTGCTTTATCCAAGTAAATAAGTAGCATTCATCTTTGGTTCATTGATAACAGAAAACCATCAACCTTATTGTGCTGCCTTTCTGATCAAATTTCACTTTTATATAATAATTATAAAAACCTATGTTATATTTATGTTACTTTGGTCAAATGATACTAGTAATTGTTGTCATAACTCAAAACAGAAGAAGAATTTAACACTTAGAGTCTTACTATCATAAGAAACTTTAAAACATGAGTATTTCTATTCATACATATATTTTTACTGTAGAAAATATGATTGGAAGAACAATAGAGGACTTCAAGTAAAAAATATGAGCTAAGGGGAATGGACATATAAGATACATGGGGAAAATAACTATAAAATTTGGTCTGTGGAGGAAGAGTTCATTTGAATATTTTTAAAGTGGGTAATAGCAAGTATCAAGTTACCATGCGATTTAGATTCTATTGGATACAAAAGTGAAGTAACAGTTTTATTTTTAAATATTTATAATAACAAGACATGATATTCTTTGCAACTATAAGTTTGAACCATATGAATTTTTAATATGCAACCATTTTCAGCCAACAAATATGGCAAATTCATAAGGTTCAAGTTAATATTTAAAGTTATGACTTAAAAGTTTTAGGTGTCAACTTAAAAATGTAGAAAAAGACACATAATTTTTTCTAAATTAGCTTAGGGAGCATATAAGACAAGAAGTTCAAAGACCACCTCCAAAAAAACCCCAAAAAACAAATTTCTTTTGCATATATGTACATGGAGTCATATAAAAGAAAATTATGGTCATAGTTTTTGCAAGAGCAAAATAAATGGAAACATCTAATAACAGGAGAATGAAAAAATAAATTGGGGTATTTTCATAGCAAATATTTATATAACAAAAAAATGAAGAAATTAGAGGTATACACATTAATATGACTGAAACATAAATACTTGATGAAATCTTATAATATTTGGTGAAAGAAAGAAGTCACAGAAGAATATTTGGAGAGTGATAATATTTATAAAATTTAAAATATTCACATAATACTACATTTTGTTTAGGGATACAAACAGAAGTAGCAAAATTATAAAGAATCTATATATATAAAAGGCTAAGTAACTGACCGTACATCCAACTAACTGGTCCACCGACTGGCCGGTACATATGACGTGAACTGGCAATTTAAAAATAAACATTGAGCCCTAACCGGTTTAGCTCAGTGATAGTGGCCTGTGGTCTAAAGGATCCCAGGTTCAATTCCTGTCAAGGGCATGTACCTTGGTTGTGGGCACATCCCCGGTAGGGGGTGTGCAAGAGGCAGCCGATCGATGTTTCTCTTTCATTGATGTTTCTAGCTCTCTATCCCTCTCCCTTCCTCTCTGTAAAAAATCAATAAAATATATTAAAAAATAAAAATAAACATTAACTCACACATGCATGATACATATAAAGCTCTTACTGGTGCCAATAGCACATGTGTGCTCTATCTGTCATTGTCAATCATGAATTTGGTTTTGAAAGCAAGTATTGAGAAATTCTCTCTCATCATTGATGTTTCTATCTCTCTCTCCTTCTCCCTTCCTCTCTGAAATCAATAAAGAAATATATTTTAAAAATATATATATTTCTTCTAATTAATTTCCTTTCAATGTGCCGGAATCCGTGCACTGGGCCACTAGTATCAGTATAAATAAACACCAAATTTAATCTCGTTTTAACCTGTAGGGAGGCCTATGATTTTAACTGGGTGTGGATACAGACATATTTTTCCTTTATGCTTTTAACATATTTTAAACACTACAAAATAAATGTTCATAACATTTTTAAAGGGGCTTGCATACATTTAATGCTAGAAAAGCTTTGGTGAGGTTCAGGGTATAAGATAAAGGAAAAATATTTCAGACAATATAAGAATAGCTAATATCCCTCTTCCTGAAAATTTAGTCCCCTCCAAAATCCATTTTTGGGGGTGCCATGGGGGGGGGCGGATATCGTTAGAGAGCAGCACACGGATGGAAAAGCTGTACTGTGTTTTTAAGTTAGGCGAGTTTCCTTTGATCACTGTGTCTATAAATGATGTCGGTATTAAAATGTGAACCTTGATCCCTTTTCCAAATTGATGCTGGGTCCAAAGTTTTGTGTCCTGCCTGACTGGCTGCAAGCCTGACACCACAGATTCCTTTGAGCTGAGTGAGGATTCAAACTTTCCCCTTTGCTCTAATTATTCTCTTATCACCTAATTGTGAACAATTTTCAAGCATATGGAAAAGGCGAATGAGTAGATAAGCCTAATTTTATATGCATTGTTCCTGAAAAATAGGAAAATACACTCTTATTTTTAGGAGGGTGACATACTCTCAACACCAAAACCAGCCAAGGGCAGTTCGTAACAGGAAAGCTATAGACCGAGTTCACAGATAAACACACAAAGGTCCTACAGAAATCACCTCCAAATTCAACCCAGCAAAGCATCAAGAATATCTGTATTCCACACCCATCCTTCATTTACAGTTTGGCTGACTATAGAATGCTATGCTGAAAATCATTTCCCTCAAAAACTTACAGGCTTGCTCTAGCCGGCTTGGCTCAATGGATAGAGCGTCAGCCTGCGGACTGAAGGGTCCCAGTTTCGATTCTGGCCAAGGGCACATGCCTGGGTTGCGGGCTCGATCCCCAGTAGGGGGTGTGCAGGAGGCAGCCGATCAATGATTCTCTCTCATCATTGATGTTTCTATCTCTCTCTCCTTCTCCCTTCCTCTCTGAAATCAATAAAGAAATATAGATTTTTAAAAAATTAAAAAGAACTTAAAGGCTATTTTCTCTTGGTTTTTTTTTGTTCGTTTGTTTTGTTTTTTGTTTTTACTTTTAGTGTCACTATCTAAAAAGTCTAAGTACATTCTTGCTCTTGATTTAAAAGAAAAAAAACCTGCTGTATATTTTTCCTCTCTGTAAACTCACAGGATCTTCTCCTGTACCGTGTTCTGAAATTTCATAGAGTCTTTTTTTTGCAGGATCTTGATTTCCCTTGTGCTGAGCACTTGGAAGGCTCAGCGAACTGATATTCTTTAGTTATGGAATTTTTTGCTTATTTAATTTTAATTTATTTTAGAGAGTGTGGAAGAGAGAGAAAGAGAGAGACATCCATTTGTTGTTCCACTTACCTATGCATTCATTGGTTGATTCTTGCATGTGCCCTGACCAGGGATTGAACCCACGACCTTGGTATATCGGGACAGTGCTCCAACTGACTGAGCTACCCGAGCAGGGCTTGAAAAAAAAATTTTTAAGTTTTTTTAATGTTGTTTTTGTGGGTGTGGGTATGTGTTTAGAGAGGAAGGGAGAGAGAGAGAAAAACACCAATGTGAGAGGGAACATGGATTGGGTGTCTCCTGAATACCCTCTACTGGGGATTGGGCCCATAACCCAGCCATGTGCCCAGGAATTGAACCGGCAATCTTTCAGTTCAGGGGATGGCGCCCAACCGAGTCACACCAGCCTTGGTGAGCCTGGAAATTTTAAAAATTATTTCTTTGGCTATTTGTTCCTCTCCATTTTTTTTTATTTGTAAAAGGACCATTTACACATCTTTCTGAGTATATTAATGTCAGTTCTTTTGAGGACTTTTCGTCATGATTTTGTTTTCAATGACAAAAAAATGGAAAATCATAAATCCTAATTTGCAAGTGAATGGATTGACAACTTGGAACATAGTCATACAACTAGATGCCTTTCAGCAATTAAAATAAATAAGCTAGAGCTACATATTTGAACGTGGATAAATCTCAAAAACATAAGATAGTGTGGGGGTAAGTAAGCTGTAGAAAGACATACATCACACACACATATATACATTTCACTCCATTTATACAAGGCTTACGAGTATGCAAAAACAATATTATCTATTGTTTATGACCAGAAATATATGGTGAGTGTTTAAAAGCCATGCAAAGGAATAATAAACTCCAAGTGTACAAGAGTAGTTATATATGGGGAGGCAGGGAAACAGAATTGGGGTACACATGACATTTCAACTGTTCGTTCTAATATTTTCTTTTTTAAGCTGAGTAGTGGGTGAACAGATATTCTTTTTTAATATTTTTAAATAGTCATAATAGTGTTTTTATTTATATAAAATAAGTGAGGGGGTGAATTTAATAAATAAACATAAAGTTGATAGAAAGATCAAGTTTTATTTTAAAACTAGGGGCTCGTGCATGAATTGGGGCACCTTGAAAGGAACTGTGGGCCGCGAGGCTGTGATGGTCTTAGCCCATCCTCCATGGCTCCAGGTCCCCTATCTGCCGGCAGCCCTGCTCCCACTGCCGCCTCTCCCATGTGCCCACTCACCAGCAGTGGGTGCATAGAATTTTCAGTAACCACCAGAGGCTCGCCCGATGACAGCGACTGGTGCCCCGCCTTGGTCTGGTGCCCTGGGTCACCTACGCCACTCTCCTGCCTTGGCCGATGCCTGCCATGTTCTGCACTCGCCCCCTGGTGGTCAGCACACGTCATAGCGACTGGTTGTTCGGTTGTTCTGCCATTCGGTCTATTTCATATTAGGGTTTTATATATATAGATAGGAATAGGAAACCTGGGAAGTCAAGTCACTGCTTTAAAATGTTAGCAGAAAACAACACAATAAAAACAGGGACCGCAGAGAAGCTATCGACAAAGCCCCAGCTGTCGTTTACAAGATGTGAGTAAATAAATAATCTAGCTTTGCATAAATTCTTTTTTCTATAATCCTCACCTGAGGACATTTGTTCCATTGATTTTAAGAGAGAGCGGAAGAGAGAGGAAAAAGACAGAGAGAAACACGGTATGAGAGAAACACATTGATTGGCTGCCTCCTGCATGTCCCCGACCAGGGCCCAGAGAGGAGCCTGCTGCCAAGCCCTTGACCAGAATTGAACCCGAGACCCTCCTGTCCACAGGCTGATGCTCTACCCACTACGCCAAACCGACCAGAGCTGGCCTTGCTTAATTTCAGCCAAAAAGGGATAGTGCCCTGAACATGATTGTACCAGAAACAATCAAAAAGAATTGCAACAGGATGGAAATTGTGCAAGCAGGAGTTCCTTAGCAGCTACAGTGATTTCCCAAAAAGGGTGAATATGCTAACCTAATTTGGAGTTGATGTGTGCAGTCCTTTTCCTCTATCCTGGGAATGGTTCAGACGACCCTGGAGTATGGATGGAGGAAGAAGGCTTCGAGGTGAGTTTTGAATTGTATATAACTGGGAGTGTTCTCCCAACAACGTGCCCTAGTATTTCTTGATTCCTCTGAAAGTCTGGTGTTCCGTCCCACCAACAGGCTACTGTAAGGTAAAACAAGCCTGTGCGCTCTGATCAGCATCACCTCACTTGCTTTTCCCATCAGAATCCCCACATGGAAGTGTCTCCAGAATGAAAGATGACAGAGTTCATTCTCTTAGTCGCATTTCTAACCCGGCCACGAATGCTTATCATGTGGTTATCACTGTCGCCGCCTGGTATCGCTTCTGCTCCCCTAGCCCCTGTAGCACTGGAGGTGGAGATGCCCCAAGAAGGGACTAAAGCAAGATGTGCAACAGCACTGAGCAGATTATTTTAGCGACAACAACTTAATTCCTCTGCCCACCCCACCTTTTCCCATTCCCCGGAGGCACGCACTTGCAACGGTACTTCTAGTACTTTCTCCCAGTCCTTACCTCCATACTTGTAAATAAAATAACTAAACAGACAAAAATGTCTTTCCTTATGGAGTTGAGGAAAGATATATAAAAAATAAATCAAATATATAGTATGATGGCGGGGGTGGGGGACAAAGCATGCGAGTGGACTATAAACATCATGGGATGGAGCAGGAACGTTCTATACGGTGGCCTGGAGAGGCCTTAACTTAGATGTGTCTTGTGAGAAAAGACCCGACGGAGGTGAAGGCTTCCATTAGTGAACAATTACTGCGAATCCCACCTGTGGGGAGGTGTGCCTGGTCAGTTCATTGAACGGCAATGAGGCCCGTGAGGCGGGAGTGGAGCGAGCAAGTGAGATAGGAGTGAGATATGAACGAGAAAGACACCCGTTGGAGATAGCAACTTCAAATACGGCCACGTAATCTCCTATAGGACCGACATTTCTATATATAATAGTTGTAAATTCTGGGGAAATAAAAATTTTTTTAATTTAAATGAAAAAAACATTTCCCTGAAGGCATTGAAGAGGAAACATACACACTCACACACACACACACACACGTGCAAGAAAGCCTGATATTAGTTAACATGTGGGGGGAGAGAACTGGGTGAGTTTCCATTTTCAGATCTTTTAGTCTACAGGCAGGCCTCCTAAAGCTAAACAGAAAATCCTCATTCTTTCTCTGATGAAGGACCAGAGCACAACCACAGCAGCTAGACAGGAGGGGGAAATGTCAGGGGGAAAAGAGTGTCCTAGAAAAGGACCCTTAAATTCTGCATATACACTCCTCCCAGATCCCTGGATGATGCTGAATCACACATACGTGAAACAGATTTAAACAACCTGGCTACAGGTAAAAATCTGAACTGAGATTTGAAATTCAGTCTGCACCGACATCCAATCAGTTAATTGCCTGCTTAAGAAACAACGCCACACTTTTCAGAGGACTATAACAGAACCCAGAATCTCTACAACATGATAGTCACAACGTACAAGATATAATCCCATATTGTTTGACAAGCGAAGAAAGAGATAAGTGGGGGGGGGGCATTATAAAAAGAATAATACAACACAACAAATACTATAAGTTGATCCATATGTTGTAATTAGTAGAAAAAGATTTTAAAACAGTTATAGCAACCACACTCATTGACGTTAAGAAAAATACTTATAATGAACAAACAGATAGGCAATCTCAGCAGATAAACACAAACTATAAAAATAAATCAAGTAGAAATTCTAAAATTAAAAAACACAATATCTAAAATTAAATATTAACACGAGATGGATGATGACAGAGGAGTCAGTGAACTTGAAACTAGATCAATAGAAATTATCCAATCTGAAAAAGAGAGAAAAAGTGGGGGAAAAATAGAACAGAACCTCAGGGACTTGTGGGGAAATATTAAAATGTCTAACATACATTGAATCATCATTGTAGAAAAAGAGATAAATAATGGGGCAGAAAAATATTTGCCAAAAATGACTGGAAATTTCTCTAAAATTTGGCAAAGCACATAAATGTAAAGGTTTAAGAAACTCAGCAAACCCCAAGCAGGATAAATATGAAGAAAACTGTGCCAAGGCAAACCATTATCAAGTTGCTGAAAACCCAAGATAAACAGAAAAGCAGCCAGAGAAAAATGACCAATTATACACAAGGGAACCATGGGTTTCTCATCAGTTATTTTGAAGAGCAGGCAACATTTTCACTGTCTGAAAGAAAAGAAAAACCTGGCAACTCAGAATTCTATACCCAATGAAGAGAGTCTTCAAGAATTGAGACAAAAGAGTGCATTGCCAGAAGACCTACACTGCAAAATGAATGACATGCTTTGGGTTGAAGGGAAATGATAACAGATGGGAACTTGGATCTTCAATGAAAAACTGCAGACCTCGAGGCCCAGGTGCACCTCCTGGTTGCTGATCAGACAGCTCTGTGATGGGAGGGGGCACATCCCTGAGGCCATGGAAGCTCCACGTGCTGGAGCCGGCCAGACCCCACCCAGTGCATTGCCCCTTGGCCCGGCCTAGTTTGCATCCTTTATGATAAGCTGTAATTATGAGTGTAGCACTTTCCTCAGTGTGAGTCATTGCAGTGAATTATTGTACCTGAGGGGGTCATGGGAACTCCCAAATGTGTAGCAGGCTGATCAGAAGTGAGGGTGACCTGGGTACCCCCATGCTGTGGCTTGTACTTTAGGGGGTCGTGAGAACCTCAGAATTTGTAACCATTAGATTGGTGGCCTTATAAGAAGGAGAGTGGGATCTCTCTAGGGAGGGCCTTCTTGCTGTGTGCTCAGATGTCCTTTTCTCAGAGTATGCGTGTGTGTGTGTGTGTGTGTGTGTGTGTGTAGAGAGAGAGAGAGAGAGAGAGAGAGAGAGAGAGAGAGAGAGAGAGAGAGAGAGAGAGAGAGAGAGAGAGAGAGAGAGAGAGAGAGAGAGAGAGAGAGAGAGAGAGAGAGAGATCTCACTCTACTTTTCATAAGGCCACCAATCTATTGGGAGGCTCACAGGGGAATCTGCTTCCTGGCCTGTGCAGCTTCCAGAGCTGCCCGCTGCAGATCATGCCCCTTCAGCCACCTTCAAAGCCGCGGCATGACCTCTTCAAATCTCTCTCTGCTTTGTCATCACATTACCTCTCCTCTTCTGTCTTCTAGTCAAATCTCCCTGTGCCTCCTTCCTTTTTAAAATATATTTTTATTGATTTCAGAGGGGAAGGGAGAGGGCGAGAAATAGAAACAGCAATGATGACGGATGGATGGGTCCCTCCCCAGCCTCTGATGCATCTTACACTCACTTCTATTTTAACATCTCAGACATGGTTGTCACCACTCACATGACTGCCCTGCTGGACTTCTCAGGGCAGGGCCCGTGTCCTGTCTCTCTGTTAGGAGTTTGACACCCAGCACATAGTAGGGGCTTACTGTTTGTTACAAGAAATAAAAAGGAGACTCTGAAAAACTCATATTCATCCTTCAAAGCTCTGATTACACAAGGCCCTGGAGCCTTTCCTGTTGGCAAGGCTGAGTTAACCTGTCCCCCCTGCACAATCTGGGGGAGGCCTGCCTCACCCTCGGGGCCAGGGACAGGACCTGCTTCTTCCCGTGACCCATTCAGCACAGACCAGGCCTCCGGTCAGTAAGCACAGAACCGGATTGCCCTTTGCATCTGAGACCAGAGGAAGGGCACCTGACCTGACTGGTCAGCCGCCCGTGTCGCCAGGCTGAAACCACCACGGACTGGCCCGCTGGGTGTTTGCTGGGGAAGGGAGCCCTGAAATAAATCCCAGCTTTAAAAGGAAACACACCAACAGGTATTCTATTTATATGAACATCAGCTCCGTTTTTAGGTATCTGCCCTCCTGCCTCACCTCCCCCAGGTGGCCCAGCCCA